AGGGAGCTTATCAAATCCAGCTGCTGAGACATTTCATCAGCAGGACTAGAGGTTGTACATCTGTGAGGGAGAGGGTGGATGAGCTATATTTGGGGTTGTGGGGAGGAAGATGAGGCCATCCTGGGAACACACCCTAGATGGGTAAAGACTTTTTCTACACCTCGGTTATGTGGGGAGATGGTGCATATAATGGGGTATCTACCGAGGTGAGAAAGGTCAGCCACATTGACTGAGTGTCTGAGTCAGCTTATGGGCACCAGCCCTCCCCTATGAGACTGCCAGGCACACCGATTTGGTGGAGGGCTGCTCTGCCCAGGATTCGGCATCCCCACGTCTGACCTGGTCATTATTCCCAATTATCATCCATTTCAAAGAGTCAGCAGGGCAATAGCATGTGCACATCAAGGTAAACAAAAGGAACTTGGATTATGAGGAACAAAAAAATCTGTCTCACATGTGGCACCATTAAAGAGCTCTGGCTGAGACATATTGTTTATAGTTAGCAGTTGTCTGGAAAATAGATGTTTACTTGTAGTGAGTATATTAAGATCTTTGCCATTAGGTAATATATATCCTGCATTGTGTCTTCCCTTACAGAAAACTATGTTGGAATAAACCTTCAATTAGCAATTCCTGTGGCAATGAAAAATATTAAACAGCAATAATGTTCTATATTGGCATTTCTGCTTATTAGAAAGAGAGAGAGTGATTGAAACACCAGGAATCTTTCTTTGGAAGGATGGCCTTTTTAAAATGGTATATTCCTTTTAAAACTGCAAGTGAAAGATCTGCTAAATAAAGATTAAATTGCTTACAGAAAAAAATGTCCCTAATATTCAGTAAGGACTCTAACACACCAAGTTTCCCTGAACCATCCATCTTCTGATGAAAAGGTATATTTTAATATGACCACATGCATCAGACTCTCTGCCTCTCTGAGCGTCTGCAGTCAGTGATGATACAGGCTGTTTCTATTACAAAATAGGAACTTGTTTCCCACAGCTCTTCTAGAACAGGGCCTGGGTCTTATCTGGCCTTTGACACATTGTCATTTCTCTGCCTCCATTTCCTTAGCGAATAGACTTGTGCCCCCACAATACCATCATAGGAATAGATGGTGCTAATCCTGTCAAATTCTGAATTCTGTTACAATCTAGCACTTAAAAGAATCAACTCGTTTATGACAAGTCCAAGATGAAGCCAGTGGACTCTTGCAGTCTGAGCAGCTCCTTCTAGGTGAGCATGTCCTTGGGTGGCGAGCGACCTATTTGGTGTCTTGGTCCCCTTGTATGTAAAGGGGAGCAATAATGCTCACTTCATAGGTTTATGGTTAGGATCAAATAAAAAATATGTAAAGTACCTAAAACAGATTCTGGCAGATAGTTCGTGTTCAATCAGTTATGTTAATATGAAATCCTCAGGTATGGAGAGGTTGGCTCCCTAGTACGTCTGAAGCTTAAATGATGGCAGCTGGCCCTACCCCTTGGCCCTTAGTAGGGGCTCAGTACCTAGTTGGTGAATAAATGAAAGACTGCTGTAACAAGCTCCTAAGTTTTCACTCCCGGATCTACCAGTCTAACTGACCAACCCATTTTGCCAGACCATACATTCCACTTTTCTTCATCTTCTGTTTTTCTCAGTGGAACCCACCATTTCAATTAGTAGCAGGAAAAACTGTTACATATTATTCTAGAGCTTTCTTAAGCCAAATCAACAAATACTTACTGAGGGCAAGACAGGTGAGCAGAATGAGGTCAGGAAAGAGAACTCAGCATAGTTTCTAGAACACTGCTCTGCAAATATATATGGCATGGTAAAAATCTAGGACAGTGGTTTGTCTTTATTATTTCTTTTCCATTTTAAACGATCTAATGGAGTAAGATGAATACTTACCTTCTGGTCCTGATTTGTTATTTCATTCCCTGCCAAGCACCCATTTCACAATATATGCTCACCTGAAACACTCAGACCTACTGTCACAATAAGCAAGATTTCCTTTCTTCGTAGGTGCTAAGGAGATCTCAACAGGGCTTTGGAATCTTCTTAGATTAACTCCTTCGCTCCTTATGGGACACCTTCTGTACTCAATAATATGGGTGTTCAGAATTCTGAGTAGAACTGAGGAGAGATGGACGGCATAAGGGCTACGACCATCTATTTTTTATTTCCAAACTAGTGCATCTTGCTTTCTCCCTTACAGTATTTCCTTCTTTGCTTGGTTTCACAGAAATGTTTTAATAAGAAAGTTTTGAGAATATCCTGGGATTATAGTCTTGGAATGAACTTTCATGCTCATAGTATCACCCCCTTTAGTTTAAAACTATTCCACTTAAAAACATCTACTTATAACTACCAGCTGCTGGTTCTTTTCTCTTCATACTCACGAACGCACACACAGACACATAGAGTCTGCATATGTACACACACATGCACACCACCCCCCCACATGCCCTGTATATATGTAAACATCCAGAAGAAACAATGCGTTGTAAAAATTGTCCTGTTGAGTTTGTAATCCAGTGTGAGTTACTGAGTGCTGATAAGTAAAGGAAGTTCAACCAGACAGTTTAATCCTCCAATTTCCTGTCTTCTAATCAGCCCCTGATTCTTTTGGTTTTAAATTAGAAACATTCCTGACAATATTCGGCACAGGTGAAGGAAAATCAACTAGAAAATAAGTAAGGACAAAGCATTTATTTTACAGTCTAAAGTTCACAGGAGAAATATGAGCATAATAACAGGAAATCAAGATTTTTAAGAAGATAGTAGAAGAACATAGGCTAGCTTAAGTAACCAATCACATTTCTGAATGGAGTGCATTTGGATCATAATTTGATTTAGAGAAAAAAAATAGGAACATATTTTAAAGGATTTGCGTCTCCCTAAGCATAGTAAATGGTACTTTAAAAGATGTTTTATAAGGCTAGCCTAAAGAAAGTGATAAGGACAATTTCTTAATATATGTGAGAGAAAAAAATAAAATGCTACTTTTTTCAGATTTTGCTTGCAATCAATCGTTGCTAATACTGTGAGAAAATAATAGTGCATGGAAATCTTTGAAGTGAATGTATATTCTTGGAAATGAATATAGTCACACATATTTATAATGGCGGATAAAAATAAGACAAGTGTGCATTTAAAAATAAGCACAGGCAGAGTGTGCAAATGCTTGAAATAGAATGTGTATAAATATGTTTATCACGGACACTTCCTTTGGAAAATATACTGGGTACCGAAAATATGATTTATTATTTACTGAATCCCCTCATTTTGATTCTTTTCATTTATTGCCATTGTAGAAATTTCCAAGTTGTTTTAATCATCATCGCGAAAGAGCTAGTGCAAAAGCATAGAAAAATCTTCATTAGGCAATGTCTTCAAAAGAATATAGAAGACAATCATTAACCACAGTGGCTCAGTTGAGAATTAACAATTTAAAAACTGAAATGATAAATACAACTAAAGTTGTGAATCCAAGCAAATAACAACAACAAAAGGTTGCATGAGATATGAGTTCTGAGTTTTGCGTCTGCAGTGGTTAGGGCTGTCAATCATTTGAGAAGTAGGCTGGAGTTGAGAGTTATTTTGAATTGTTGAACACAGTAAGACAGTATTTCACAGACGTACCTTGCTTGGTAAACATATATATTTACTTTTAAGAAAGGCGTTTACATTCCAAGGCATAGCATATCCTTGCTACCCAAGTATTTTCCTGGTATCAAAGTCTGAGTTGTAAAAATTTGAATTAAGTGATGGATAATTCTTGACTGAAAAATTATATGGCAATTTCTAAAAAGAATGCTTCCAAAATTAGTGCTTGGGAACTGAGCATGGGGAGAGGGAGGTGGCAGGATGATTTAATAACCTTCATTTCATAGTAACTATGAGTTTTTAAATTGGATTGAAGAAGCAAGTGTATTTTGTAATTCACATAAAAATAGTCCCATAATATCTTATCAGTAAATCATTAGGAAGAGGAGGCTGTTTATTCTGCCTTCGTTTGAACGCCATGTGGGTACAATGGAGGTAATTCCATTGGACAGAATTATATTTTGAAGCATATGCATGCTCCCAAGGTGCTTCCATTTCATTTCGAGTGGAGAAAAATTTCATGAGGGTTTTCTTTAGTTGTGTGTCGAAGGCTTCAAATAGAGATGTCACAACATAGCTAGATGCAGTTGATATGCAATATCTATTTCTTGATTTGCATGATTAAAGCATTAGAGAAGTGGCTCCGATATCAAAAGATTTCTCATAAGTGGCAGCGCCAAAGGTAATTACTGTTAAAATGTACATGCTTGAACCCTGGTCGCTTGTTAACTTCTAAGTTGTGTTTGCAACTCTTTGGGTTGGAGTAAAAGTTTTCATTTGAGTTTTCGATGTCAACCCCTCTCCCACTCCATTTTGATATCAAAAGTGTATTTAACATTTCTTATATTCTATGTCTGTCAAGACGGCATCAGCTTTAACCCCCAAAAGCAATAAAAGGTAAAGAAGACCCTTCTTAGTATTTCACATTTTAAGATAATTTTTTCTTGAACAAAAGTAGCCTTTTGAAGACAAAGCTAAAATTTGTACTTAAAAAAAACACAACACAACAAACCCCATTAATTTAGTCAACCAACCTTCAGTTTGTTATCAAAAAGTGCAGTTAAAACCCTACTGTAAGCTGGGCGCATTATGACAGGGGGTGGGGATAAAGAGGGAAAGAGGAGAGGGGTTGTTATTCTCAGGCTTTTATTAACCAGTTTCTTTCATTCTAGTGGGTCTTTATTATTTAGAAAAATAAAAATGATTTGGGGCTCTATCCATTCTCACCTAAAATTTTGGAGTAGGTAATGGCTGTCTACAACTGGTCCAACATATGCCCCCAAACTAAAACAAACAAACTCATTTGCCATACAAATTGTTTACGATTCATTAAAAAGCAAAATTGCATATCACGGTGCTGGCAGCTGAGGCCGAGCCTCCACGGGCGGAGGGGGCATTCACTGAGTTGCCTTTGTATGCTGGGAGGACCAAGCGGAGGTTCCCACTATGCAGCCCGGAGCCTGTGCAACCAGATGACGCATGAGGTAATTTTAAAGCTTTATTTGCCTTTAGTGTGAAACTCGGATCTTGTACTGTCCTTTGGTTAAAGAGCCATATCAGCCAGGGGCAAATCTGCATTTTTTTTTTTTTAAGTTGGGGAAAATTGTTTGGGGTAGTGAGGTGAGGGTCTGGAGGGAAAGGGAGTGAATTCTATTCAAGGAAAGAGAAGAGCTAAGAGAAAATGCGAAATTTCTCTTATTTTAATTAATCCTTTTCCCCCCTTCATCAAAGTCCTCAATTTCCCATCAATAGTGGGAAATTTACATTAGAATTATTTGTAACTGGCAAATTTAAAATGTTGTGGTATGTGGTCACCTTTGAGGGAAATAAAAAATCCATTTATTCTCTATGGTAACTTCTACAGCTTCTTTAAAGAGCACTCTGATTTCTCACCCTTTTTCAAAGCAAAGATCTAGAAGCATTGAAGTTGAGAGAAACTTCCTGTCGTATGCAGCCTAAACAGCAGCATGTGAGCTTACAGCATTGTTTATTTTTAGTCAACTGCATTGCTAAATGTTTCCACCACTTTTATATTTTATATTCCCGGCGGTAAAACATCTGTAAAACAATTTTAAATGAAAAGCAACTTCCAAGTAAACTTTACAAAAAATAAATGACAGTTTTCCAAGTTAAAAAAAAAGAGGAGCATTTGGTGATCTTTGCAAGAAAAAAAAGATTACACAATTTGCCATAAAAAGTAACAGTCTATAAAATCTACGAGCTCTTGAAATACAAGGAAGGAGAATGTCACCCAGAATATGACATCAGCGTGCAGGTTTTTTTTTTTTTTTTTTAAAAGGCTTACAACTTAGCTTAGAAAATAATAGCTAAACCAATCATTATATTCATTTCTGGTGTTTAACAAGCTGCACAAGGCAAAGCAATAGGCTACATCATGGCATACAAGTAAACCTTGTTCTTGCTGGCAGAAACTCTAATGGGAAAATAAGTGCCCTGAATAGTTCAGGATCTGAGTGGATAGTCTACTGCTAGTCTAATTAATCAAAAAGTGCAAGTAACATTGTCCTGAAATCATTGGCAAAGTTTCTATTGTCTAGTTAAGAAATCACAAGTTAAAATACACATGTACACACATACCCACAACCACCTTTACTCAAGGGTCCTTAGGATGGACACACTGCACCCCAAGAGCAGCCGAATAGAATCCTGCGGTAGCTCACTTTTAATAGTCTCTCAGTCCTCAGAATTCCTAAAACTTGCCCAAATGATACCACCATTGGTCCAGGAAGGGGAAAGGAGAACTCTTTCCGCAGATCATGCAATGAAACCGACCATGTCCTGTCTTGTAATTCCATTCGCCAGTCTCCCCCTTCAACACCACTCTCTCTCTCTCTCTCCCTCTCTCTCTCTCTTTTTTTTTCTTAAACTGATATCTATGTGAAATGAGCTGAAGTTCACGGTCCAGTTAGGAACGGATAATACATTCATTGTCCTGGCAGCAAACTTTTTTTTCACTCCCTGGAAGAATTCACGCTTGCCACAAGAATAATAATTACAAAAAACTAGAAGTGCTCTGCTAACGAAGTAATCCTTAACGGACACCACCCTAACGAGGGCAGTGATGATGTGAGGACTCTCTTCCTCACAGGACGCGCATCTCCCGTGACAATAAGCTATTGTGCGCTCTCCCAACTCACTCTACCTCTTATAGATCCAAGATGTCAAAGGTTGTCTGGCCTGGTTGACCATGACATGTGAGTTAACTCATTCTGCGGCCGCATGGTAGAACTTTATTAAAACTTTATTTGTACCCAGAATAACTAAAAGATAGAGTGTGTGGGTCTTTTCCCACTCAGAGCCGGAGTTCCTCAGAGATTTAAGACCTGCTCTGAGATAAACAAATGGGGAAAAGTTAGATGAGAACTACGGGTCCCCAGATGGAAAACAGGGAGTGGGGACCCAGAGTTCTCCCACAGGTGACTTCAGGCACTCCAATTAATGGGGCAGGACGGGAATTCACCCAGGGCTTGCTTCTCCCCAGCTCCAACACACGTCCTCAGAAAATACTACAGCCAAGGAAAAACCAAGCACCCCATAGTCCCTGAAAACAAAAGTAAAGGGGGCTGCGAAGCTAGAGAGAGGGAGCAAAACCTGAGGGCCGGGACGAACATTTCATTTTTCTTTTTTTTAACCCCAAGACCGACTTGGCTAAAATACCCACCTCCACCTTAAAACTTCTGCTACTTAAAAAAAAAAAAAATTAAAAAAAAAACAAACCCAAAACAAAACCCCAACAACTCTCAAACACTGTCCCATGGAAAACCAGGGTAAGCGTTGCTGGGAACTCGAGTCGGAGAGTGGCAGAGAGAGGATGTCAAGAGGAAGCAGTGTGAGCCTGCTTCACTGAAGAGTGTGAAAAAAATCAAATGTGAATTTGATGAATGTGAGGTCTGGGACATTTTGTCAAAGAGGGAGGGAAAGTAGAAAAGGGAAAAAAAAAAAAAAAAAGCAGCCCCGGCTGCCAACTCACCATCCACCAAGTTCTGGCCGAGATGTCGTAGCAGAGCTGCCATTTGATGGAGCCGTCGGAAGCTTTCCCTGCCATTACGCTGTCAGCAAGCTTCATCTGATGCTAACTCACGGGAGATAAGACACCTAATTGAGAAAACATTTGCAGTGGCATGTGGGGCAACATGTAGTCCGGTCCATACCATATGGAATCATGGGTAAAAAAAAAAATCTCCTTGACAATGAACCAATCTCTCACAGACCCAGTGGCAAGGTGAAGTGGAGATGAAAAGTCTTCTGCTCCTAGCACTGTCTTCGCTCTCCTTTTTAAAAAACAAGGACCCACTGCTACACATCAAAGAGAGGCGGTTAAAATTAAGGCTTCATCACTCAGATGATTTTGGTCTGCAAGGTTTTTCCTTTCCTTCCAACAACCAATCCCCCCTCTTTTTTTTTCCCCTTTCTTTCTTTCTTTTCTTTCTTTCTTTCTTTCTTTTTTTTTTTTAAGGAGAATAAAGAGATTTAATAGGACAAAGGCAGGTAGTGGACTGCGGAGGGAGATCGCCACAGGCTATTAGCCTAAAATTTCTGCTTGACAGATGGAACTGCTTAGAGACTATCATGCGATGTTTTGGGCTTTTTTTTTTTCCTGCTCCCCCCACCCCCTTCGACTTTAGGTCTGATTCAGTATCTGTTTTTCACAGCCACTTCTCTCAAGAACGTGAGCTGTGCATTTAAAAAAATGTTTAGTTCAGTTTTCCTGTCTTACACATCTCATTGAAAGCAAAGAGAAAAGTCTAAAACTAAATCTGGGAACAGCTGAACAGGTTTTCCAAGGAGAAAAAAAAAAATTCTGGGGAAAAATATTTCTCTTTCCTTACCTTATTTTTTTAAAAATTAATTCATTGGTTAATTTGGTTGTGAAGGAACACAAACATGAGATGGTTGAGTCCCTTGATTTTTGGTTCAGCTGGCATTGTATTTAGGTGTGTTCTTATGTGAGGAAATACATTACTGATATTTCACAAGTTCTAACCTAGGCTAGGCTACACGCCATCTCTATTTTTTGGTGTTCTATTTTTTTTTAAAAGTTAATTCTGAGCGTTTCAATTCTCTGTGAATAAAGTGATCAGTCATTATCAATTCAGTTTAACACAATTCAGGCTAAACTTGACATGAGTACTTCCTTATTCAAGGAAAATCACATCTGATTTCCTTACTGTAACCAAGCCATCTTCTTCACAGGGGTTTTTAACCGCACATCCTCTCTTTAGAGGAAAAAATAAACCACAGCACGGACCTACCAATAAGAGTGACTGCAAAAATGATTTTTTTTTTCCTTAAGTGAGAAGTCCGGGCAACTGCTGAATTTCAAGTCATTTTACTCGAGGACTAAGAGGGGAGAAGAAGTAAAGCGAATACCATGTATTTGTTATGTTTTATTCTTTCAAACTGTGTCAAATTAGGAAGAGCAGAAATACCTTTATAAGAGCCGTGTACCAGACACATCTTATTTATTTTTTTTCTGGATATAAGCGGTTTCTTGATCCCCAAGAACCTAGCAGTGATATTACAGTTCTCTCCACAGCATGTCTTCTGTATAGGCACTCCTGAGCCTGGGGGAATTTATCTACATCATTTTTCAGGGCGATTGAACTGTGGTTATTTAAAAACTTGTGCATTTACAGCCCAACTATCCAGTGGATTTTTTTCTAGTCACATTTTCACCTGAATAATATTTCGATGAACTTATCAGGACACATTTTAAGTTCCAAAAAGGTTAAATTCGGTGGCTTTTGCTTTCCTCTTTCTAGCTTCTTCCTTAGTAGGTGTTATTTTAACTCTTTAGCATAAGGTAAATTGCTGTTTTGACAAAAATAATTTCAGTAAAGTAAATTTTATCCAGTTGCATCTGAAATGTTTTATAATTTAAAACAGGACACCCAGACTGTTTCTACAGAATGAGCCACAAATATAACAAATAAGACATTTTTATCTCTCCCATCCCTCATTGTAATGGGGTATTTTTTTCTAATAATATGGGGGCAGAAGGTGGTATCAGGAATTATTATAAAATATGGATATTGCCATCACGCTTAGAAGCATCTTTACAGTTTTTATTACTCTGGAATTACCTCTCTTTTCAGAAAAAGAATCTGCAGCAGCATAGGAAATGTTAAGTTGCCCTCAGTGTCCACAAGCAAATGGACCTTCTGCCAGGGTCTTGCCCTGAGCTTGCCAGCCAAAACATTTGCTGTCTTGTGTAACTGCCGTGTCATTAAAATGACCTGATCTTTCTGCAGTTTACCATTTCGAGAAAGAAAAGGAAAAATGCTGGAAATTCTACATAGAATGTAAAATAGCATAAAACAGAAAAAAAAGGGGGGGCAAGGGAGTAAGAAAAGAAATGAAGCAGCATTACGCATTTGAATCAACCTATTTCATCCTTTCCTACTTGCCTCTGAAAAGCAGACAAAACCAAAATTTTTTCGCTTTAGGGTCTTCTCAGCGTTCTCCAGGGCAAGGAGGCACATGGGCATTTTGGATTCATGGGGCCACAGCCTTAACAATTTCTAAGTTTGTCCCATAGCAGACTCTGAAGTTGGAGGTGTCTCTTATCTGAGCTACTGCATTTCTGAGACTCGGAACATGCCCATTATTTATGAATGAATGGGGCACAAGGTAAACTGGAGTCCAGATTTTACTTTGTGTATGATGGAATACCTGGGAAGGTTTTACAGGAGATGACACAGTAGCTTTGAACAAAGAAATGAGAAATATTATTGGATAATAGTGTTTTAAATCCAGAACAATTAGGTGCATTTAACTTTATCATTGTTCTCTAAGAGGCTGGTGGATGCTGTCCTTTCTCATACAGCAATCAGTCTTTTCACAGTGTGGCCCGTTGTTAATAGCCTTAAAACAAGATTAAATAAAACATGTTAAATATTGCAATTATTGTGGGAAATAAAATTATTTGGTGAGCATAATGGGGAGCAATTCAAGCATTTAACATGATCCAGGAAATGCTACTCCAAACAATTGCATTTGCTTTATGCATTTTTCCCCTTTGATTGCTGACAGATGCCTCTTTGGAAACAAACATCTAAATGGTTTGCTTTCAGTCAGAAAAAAAAATATAACAGAAAGTGGCTACATGTTTTGAATTTAACTCTTGTCATTTGAATACTTCTTTCCACTGCACGTGAATGAATCTGAGACAAAAACAGGACCCTCATCAAGAAATAACCCCATCAGGATTTGGACTTTCTGACTTCCTTTGAACATGTTTTATCAGAAGTGGGAATCCTGCAGCTATGAAGTCAAGTGGTGGGTTAAACCGCTGGGCATTCCGCACGGTATGAGGAATACGGTCCGGTGACTGTGGGGGAGCATTAGAAAGGGAATTGTTTTCTTATAGCATGAGGCCTCTGGAAAAAAGCAAATTACTTTCCAGACTCTTTCTGGTTCTTGTGGCCAAAGCACCCCAAATCAGCTACCGCCTTTTGATGAATGGGAAGAGCCCAAGAGAGCTGGGGGGGGCGGTAGTGGGGGGATTCCCATCTGTATCTTTGCTGCAGTGCGCTTGGATAAAAACCTCAAAGACTCTGCTGCCAACAGGTGTACAATACCAAGGAGGGACTTGGGTTTGTCATATGTTGCTAAAAGGCAACATGAAATGGAATATTAATGATTTTCAGAGGCTGGAGAGTAAGCAGAGTGGTTGCGAACACTGTTTCTGAAGTTCAATGGTCCATATCCTGGCTTGACTTGTTACTAACTGTGTGACCACTCCCAGCTTACTTTACCTCTCTGATTCTCTGTGTCCTAAATAGGAAAATGAAAATAATTCATTAGTTAAGTGGATAGATAGATAGATACAGTTATTTAGCAAAAATATGCATGAAGTCAATAGTTCCTATATGTAATGAGTGCTCAAGTTAAGTTATTGTTTTGGTATTGATGTTTTGTTATTATTATTCCTCTGTTGAGCTAAATCCCCTCTCTTTCCCTTCTGATTCTGGTGAAGCTGGGTTAGGTCTCTTCTCTTTGATCTAAGAGTCTAATAACAGTCTAATAATCTAATAATCTTCTAATAATCTGTACCTTGCCCCGTTGCAGCTCTTAGCACCGTCTATGTGTTCTTCTCATATTTGCACAGCTTTTTCTTTCACCTTGGCTCAGACTATTGCCACTCCTAGTGCATCATCTGCCTTTGCAAGTTAACTTCTGTCTCTGAGACCCCTGTCCACAGTGATCTCTAGCACCTTTGCATTCCTGTTGCCTTCCTTATCTGTATGATTCATTGGTACTTCACATAAATTCACTACATTGTTATTTATCTTTAATGAATATATGTCATTCATTCATTCTTTCACCCATTTAATAGCAACTCCTGCAATGTAGGCAACTAAATTTTTTTTTCTCCTTTTTTTCAAGCTTTGTTTCCAGAGCCATTGGAAAATTGAAACTCTAGGAGAAGAGTAACTTGATTTTGAATGTACCATATAATAACAGCTAACATGTATTGAGTACTTCCCCTTAAAGCCAGGCACTGTTCTGAGATCTTTTTATTTTCAGGTAGGTCCTTATGATATAGGATCTATTATTAACCCCATTTACAAATTAAAAAAAAACAAACCAGGCTCAAAATTTAAAGCAACTTGTATAGGGTCCAGGACTTAGAGATGGAAGGATTCAAGCCTAGGAATTATGACTCGAGTTTCCCCATTCTGGTGTTGCCTCTAAAACCATGAAAGAGGGGAAATAACAGGACTTAGCACCTGCTATGAGCCAGGTAGTTTTTAAGGTACTTTGGGGTATGACAAGTCACTTAGCCTTCACAAAAACCCTAGGAGGTTTGTATTATTATTTTAAATTTGGAGGTCAGTGTCAAAAAGTAAGAGTCTTGCCTAATGACACGTACTAAGCAAGAAGAGCAAAGATTCCACCCTATGTCTATTTGTCTAAAAGGTTTTTCCTATTCTAATTAGGCAGCTCTCAGAAGATTTTTAAAAATTTCTTTTGTAGAGTTGGATGCTGGGCTTAACAAATATGTATGGCTTTGAATCTCTAGGCTCTTGGAAATCATGAAATTAGAAATGTATACTTTTGCTTACACTGTAGAGAAGTTTGGTTTAGGGCAATGGGTATTTAAGACTTCTTTTTTAAAGCCTGTATTGAAGGGGGATTATCTACTATTAATACCTAGGTCTTTTCTCTAACCTTAATCAGGTGGAAAATCCTAGAATGGTGCTCAGGACATCAGTGTCTCACCCTGAAAATGAGTGTGTACTCACACGGAAGCTTTGGAATAAGAGGAAGAATCTACACAAAAGGAGAGACAGTCTAGTCCCTCCAAAGTCCAGAGAAATGCCAGGGTCTTTGGTGGCAGATTTATCCCTTCTTGATGAAAGTAGCCAAGTCTTCTGAACAGGTACACATCATTACTGGGCATGAGCGTGGTGACTTAAAAAAAAAAAAACAAACAAAAAACCAGTGTCCCAAGTCACCTGGCATGGTTTTCTCACCGTATGGCAGAAGCAAATGCTACAAAGCTGAAAAGGGCAAAATTGAAGAAAATGCCAGGGGGTCCAGACAGTCCCATCCATTTTAATGATATGTCCAGAGATTGCCCAGATTTTTGAATTAGGATATGTATATATGTATATATATATATATTTTTTTTTTCCTCAAGAAAAATATTGATAATTTTTTCAGCAGAAACTCACCCTCCAAACCCAGCGGAGAATCCGTTTCCTTCCTAGTGGCAGGTCTTGTACCTCATTTCCATTTAGAAATTCTTTGACTTTGACTTTCTCTGCATTTTCGGTTAACGAGCTGCCACCCAAGATTGGACTAAACCCTCTGCCCCCGTTAAAGTGGAAAAGAAGGAACACCGCATGCAACACAACCCTCTAATAAGTACATTCGCCACTTCTATGCAAGGCGCTTAAGAAAACGCAAAGGTTAATATATTCCAACTAGATGTTGCGTATAGAATGTCAGATCTGTCAAATTTCATTATAACTTGCTGCTCGTTGAAAAAGATTTGATTTCTTTTGCCACTGTCCTACTATGCTCAAGTCACAGACTGCCAGCAGCAGCCCACTGAAGACCACAGGCTGGCAGCGAGTGGGCTCGGGTGGGACACCAGCCGCAAGGACCATCTGCTTCCGATTTCTAGCTGAGCCAAGATGTGCAGTGAAGTGCACGCCGTTCACCAGGCCAGCTTCTCCCCTGCTCAAGTTATTAGTGTTACAAGTGAAATGATCTTTTCCAAACGGCAGGGGAGCTATAATCCTTATGGAACAGGACCTTAAAACACACACATGCACCCACAAAACACATGCATGCACATACACATGCACACACAACATTCAGACATCATTTGTTAAAGTTGTGTGGAAGGCTGCTGGTAAACTTAATTACAGCCTTCATGGGGTTTATAAAGTATGTTTTATTAAGCATGATAACCTCTGAGGCAGCAGCTTATACATTGGCCTCATTTAGTCTAATTGAATGATCGAATATCTTTAGGATGCTTTTTGTGGGCATGGTTGAAAATGACGAGGCGGGTGTATTTATTTATTTATTTATTTTTAAATTTTTTTATTGTTATGTTAATCCCCATACATTACATCATTAGTTTTAGATGAAGTGTTCCATGATTCATTGTTTGTGCATAACACCCAGTG